TCTGCACATATGCTAATTTTGTTTGTTACTTTGAGCAGTCCAGATTTTTCAGCTATGGATTTGATATAAATAGATACAGCAAGAATAGTGACATAACTGTCATAAGTTGAGTAATAACAGTGAGATCATGATAATGTGATAATTCTCATGTAAAGCTTTGGCTGTGGAGTAACAAACAAATACAAGGTTTGAAGTAAGAAAGCCAGGCTGTAGCACTTTCTGAATGAGATTAGGTGAAATACTAAAATCAATCAGGTTCTTGATATTTTGTCACATAAGATACATATCTTACATGATTGCTCTAAAAATCAGATTATATAATGAATGTTAAATGCCCTTAAACACAAATGTTGTAAAAGTAGCAGAGCCTTTCAGGAACATGTATGTAATGTGTTATAATATCTTATTATAATAAAAGTAGCAGAGCCTTTCAGGAACATGTATGTAATGTGTAATGGCAGCATCATACATTACACAGAATAATCATAAAGCAAAAAAGGAGATAATCTGGTGGGCTGGCAACATGCTCTGTCACTACTGACTTGTTGGATGACCTTCAGTACGTTGTTCCACCTATTCTGGGGGTGTTTCTACCACACACATAAAGTTGTAAGAAAAGTCAAATAATATGAAGGAAGTTCTCTATGATCCTCAGATTCATCTTCACGCCAAAATATTTTACTGAAGCTACAGATACTTTGTGAATTCATTGCATCCCCAGTAGGCTGTGCGTCCACTAGAGAGCCTCACAGAGCAAACTGGCAGCAGGGTCACTCACATCCCAGGAACTGGAGAGGGGGGCTGGCAAGCAGTCATACTCACCAGGTGTCAGGTGTGTAGGCCTCTTTGAGCTAGACTGTTCTGGAAGACGGCAAGCTCTGAGGCCAGTAAAGCTCTAATGAGCCCCTGTGAGCATTGCTGTTACTGAACCTTTTCCCTTTTCGGTCTCAGTCTGTTTCTCCATTCAGAGAACCTGAATTCTAAGACCCACTTCCGCTTTCCTGGCAGTAGCCACTCCCCCCGCCCTATGCTTACTTCCTGCTTTCCTTCTTCCTGCCTGCTACCTACCTTCTCACCAAGCACCTGGTGTTAGCTTTCTGACCCCTCACTGTACTTTCCTGAAGAGGAGGCTGTTGTGCTGGAACAGAATATGGAAAATCTGAGAATATAGGAGGGCTTGGTAGGAACAGTGCTTCTCAAGCATGCCCTGAGAACAGCATTCACTGTCCTTTCTTAGCCCAGAAATAGCTTGGGTAGAATGAGAAAGAATCCATAGAATAAATGAGGTATTGCTAAGCCCCCAATATAGACATCACTAACCACATTGGGGTGTCATGATGCATTGAAGTATCTTTCACTCACACTGTGTGCAGAACCCTCTGTAGCTAATAACCTAACAGTATCTTTCTTCCTCTCCATTTTTTACTTAGCAGTCACCGTAGAGTGAACGTTACTGCTGGTTCTTGAAAAGGAGTGGAAAAGCGACTTTTTAAGATTAGGCAGCAAAAAAATAGAGATGAGCATATGCACGTTCCACTCCTCCTCCCACTGGAACTGTAAAGGACCCTCCTCCCCTCCATTTCTCCACTCATTGTCTAGTTTCTGGGCCTCCAGGGCTCAGTTGCTGCTTTTCTAAGAACTCCTCTGTCTAAGCTAATTGTAGGCATACTAGTCACAAAATCATTAGTTTAAATTAGCACGTGTAACTGAGGGTAGACTATACTCAACTCTGAAGTACATAGCTGCAGTATCAATCTTTGCTTTATTGATTATCAGAACCAGTTTTATCCTTAATCCATGACTTGCAAATGTTTTCTCATTTGGTTTCACTTGTCACTTCCTTTATGCTGACGGGAACGGTTTAATGTTTCTTAAAGGGATCCTGTGTTTTGTGGTCCGTGTTTTATCTCTTTAATTTTCAAGACAAGTACTTGCTGTGTTATTCTCAAATTACAGATAAGGAAACTGAGGCTTTAGAGAGGTTAAGTGGTATGCCTAAGTCACTCAGCCAAGACAATAGAATTTACATCTGATTCCTGCATCTCCATAAGACCCTATAATGGGTCATTTTTAAAGTGAAGGGGCTTGCCCGCATGCTCTGATTCCAGAGCCTACTATGTACTTTGTGTCTCTTTCTAATAAATAGGATTTGCCATTCCTGGCCAGACTCTCCTGGAAAGCCTACCACTCATCTGCTCTTTTCATTTCTCCACATTGATAACAGCAATCAGCAGACCACATCCATTTCATGCATAATTTTGAAAGTCATTTTGGAATCACTACGTAATAATGCAGGAAAATAATGAAGAGGGAAAATACTAACTTTTCTACTGAATGATATTGTTTCAAATCCATACATAGAGAAATGAAAATTGTGGACACCTGACTAATCTGAAAATGCACCCGATTTCATAAGACAATTCCTGAACTGCCTGTGCTCCACCAACATGGCCCCTTAATTATTAGACAGAGTACTTTCCTTTGAGGCATTCCCAAGTGCTTTGCAAACATTTTTGCTCATTAACTCTCATACCATATTTCTGTGGCAGAGAAGGAGCAGGATCCTTTGTCCTATTTAAAATGTGGGACTGCTGATGCCTTGAGTGATTTAAGCAGGTTACCCTCCGGTCATGCACTGAGGAGGCCTGGACTAGAGTCCTGGGGGGAGAGGGCGTTGTGGGCCAGGAGGGCAGAAGGCCACTAGGTCTGCAAATGACCATGGTGAGTGCTTGGCCCCACTCCTCACTTAGAGAAGAGGAAATAAACCCAGCGAAATGAAAACACTTAGAAAACCCAGGGTCACATGCGTAATTAATGAGTCAACTAATATTATGGTCATACAAACAACATACATATATAATGCTACGGAGGATAAGATGACAACTGTGAAGAATCAATTTTTAGTCAGATTAAAAGCATGTGAAAGTAGAAGTCCTTCATCAGTGACCTTGCCTAGAGGAAAAATAAGAAGGTTAAACTTTCAAACAAGAGCACTTTTAACATAGACAAAGTTACAACTTCCTAGCAACCAAATACCCACTAAAGTGAAGGTGGGACATCAGCTCTTGGGCTCTAGAAAGTGTACTGAAAGCACTGGGATGTCAAATACCATCTTGAGTTCCAAGCATATTTATAGCTGACAGAAATGTTCCAACTAAAAATGACATACGTGGCTGTCTCTCTTAGGGAATCTCTCATTGCAGAAAATGTACATATGTAAACACCACACACAGACTGAACTCTTCATTTAGTGGTAAAGAGGGAGCTAAGTCAAAATGTTTTTAATAACTAAAAAAAAAATAAAGTTCAAAGATCAATGACATTGACTCAGAAATTTATGGAGTAATTCCTTAATGAACCAGCCATTTCTTATGATTATATCCTTCAAAATATATCCTTTCATGTTTGCAAACACAGTGCAAAATCTGATGAGGCAAAGTTTGATAAAACAGATCGTGAACATAATGCATTAACACTGAGCCTGGCATTTAGCAAACACTCAGTATACGGCCATTATTACCATGACACATCATAATGGAAAAAATGGAAAAAACTGGAAACATGGTCAAGTCACGTGTTTTAAATGGAAGTAAACTCAAATTTTAAAAAACAGATTTCCTACACTGACACATAGTCCAATGTTGAAATGTTACCCTAGAGAGTTTCAAGGGTTTGGGCTATAGACCAAGGTAGGGGAGAACCCACTAAAGGACTTTTGGGAGGTCAGTGCCTATGTAGGGTAACGGCCCTGGGCTGGGAAAGATGGAAACTCCTTAATGCAGTTCAACTCACCTGTCAGTAGCACAGCTGAGGACAAAGAACACCAACAAAAACAAGTCTCTTATCCAAAGAAATATCCAGACGCATGGACACTTCTTAAAGAAGAGTAAATAAAATGTCATTCAGTGACACTATTCTGACTTACCTGTTTTTAACAAGCTTTTTCATTTGGTGTCTTAAGTCAACACCAAAGCAAAGCAGTAAACTGAGGAAAAAGAAGGATTTCAGCCAACAGACTGAGAGCAAAGAAAGAGAAAACTATTTTAACATTCAAAAAAAGCATATGGAACCATTTAATGGTTGAGGGGGGTGGGGAGGGGAGGATAGTCTTGTAATAATACCATGCAAGCATTCCCATACCACTCTTGGTGGTCTGCAAAGTGATTTCATATGTATTTTATGTCAACACCAGTACAATGAGGTAAGTTGGAGTGTGTGCCTAAGAGGCATTTGGAGAGCTGTCAGAGTGGTGTGCTGTGTGTTGGTGCTTGGATTGAACGGGACCGTTTGACTCTGAGATTGTGTTGTCCACCACCTGCAACCTCCACACCTGCCAAGGCTCCAGCTCAGTGCAGACAAGACAGACTAGCCAAGTGACTCTCAGTTACATTTTAGGAAGATTCTTATCGAGAATAGATGGGTTCTTCAGAATGAGTTATTCCAATGTTGACCAATATTTTCCAGACCTGTAATTAAGTGAGTGCATTTGCTAACAGAATCCTGGAAATGGAAATTGTGCCCAAAGAACCAAGCTTTAAGACCAATGTTTTTAGTTCCAGAGACTAGATCTAGAGAACCCCATGTCTCCAGCCAGCTTTCCACTCTCTTATTTCTCATATTCATTTGATAATATTAATGGAAAACATACAGTTAAATCCCTAAAGATGACACTGAAACATGACCCCCTTTTCTCCACAGAATAATCTTTGAAGACTTTGTGGGGATTATCGTGTAGCTTTCCAAGAGAGCCATTTTCTGGCATAGGGAAATGGAAAACTCTAGACCGTTGGTTTCACCTTAAAGGAAGTTTTCTCAGAACATGAGAGGCAAGGAAGGACTGGATCTTTCCAATCAAGGGTGACCCATTAACAAATCAGATTTTATTTTTTTTTTAATTTTTTTTGTTTTTGTTTTTTGTTGTCTTGTTTTTCTGTCTCTCATTCTCCCTCCCTCGCTGTGTCTCGCTCTGTCCTGCTTGCTGTCTCTTCCCACATCGACAGGTGAGAAGCCCCACCAATGCAGCATCTGTTGGCGCTCCTTCTCCTTAAAGGATTACCTTATCAAGCACATGGTGACCCACACAGGAGTGAGGGCATACCAGTGTAGTATCTGCAACAAGCGCTTCACCCAGAAGAGCTCTCTCAACGTGCACATGCGCCTCCACCGGGGGGAGAAGTCCTATGAGTGCTACATCTGCAAAAAGAAGTTCTCCCACAAGACCCTCCTGGAGCGACACGTGGCCCTGCACAGTGCCAGCAACGGGACCCCTCCCTCGGGCACACCCCCAGGTGCCCGAGCTGGCCCCCCAGGTGTGGTGGCCTGCACGGAGGGGACCACTTATGTCTGCTCCGTCTGTCCAGCAAAGTTTGACCAAATCGAGCAGTTCAACGACCACATGAGGATGCATGTGTCTGACGGATAAGTAGTATCTTTCTCTCTTTCTTATGAACAAAGCAAAACAACAACAAAAAAAGAAACAAACAAAAAAGCTATGGCACTAGAATTTAAGAGTTGTTTTGGTTTCGTTTTTACTTTGTTTTTGTTTTTGTTTCGTTTCATTTTGTACTACATGAAGAACTGTTTTTTGCCTGCTGGTACATTACATTTCCGGAGGCTTGGGTGAATAGTAGTTTTCCCAGCCTCCCTCGGATGGTGGCCTTAAGGCCTGGTAGTGCTTCAAGAGGTCCACTGGTTGGATCTCTAGCTACTGGCCTCTAAATACAACCCTTCTTTACAAAAAAATCTTTTAAAAAAAGTAAAAAAAAAAAAAATTTTTTTTCACTTGTGAAGAGCACTACAAAAATATATAACAAAATCTAAAAGGCCTACTGTCTTTAAGTACACCGCTTGCAGTGTTTCAGTGGACATTTTCACAATTCTGGCCGCTTGGACTTCACAGTAACCAGTTAAAACTGTGGAATATCACTTCTGGTTGAAAACCCAGAGGAAAGGCCCTGCTGTTTTCCACCTACCACGTTGTCCGATTTCATAAAAAGGGCTGTGGGCGTGGGAAGGGGCAGTGGGTTCGGTGGTGTGGGAAAGTTGAATGGCACGCTTCTCCCCCAGATTCTGCTTGGGTCCACACACCCCGGCCCACCTCCTCCATATCCCCCCTTTCAGCAGAAGCCAGGAAGACTTGGACAAGCATCAAGCAACAGTGGCTATCGTATTTATTCAGTGTCTTCGCTGAGCCACAGCCTCAGCACAATCAAGAGGGACTTTCATGAAAGGCAGGAATGCAGATAAAACAAAGATATCAGATGTTTGCACCTATGTTTCTAGGTACAAGAGAAGGATTATTTCCAACAATCTTTGCAAAAAAAAAAACAAAAAAAAAGTGTCAGGATATATTCTTGTGGAAGAGAAAAAGAAAGAAATGGAGGGTGGGGGGGGAATAATAAAAAGTTCTTGAGGCTTTTTTAATTCAAAATTTTATAGAGGGGCAAAAGTGACGTTTACCAGATAGAATGCTGATTTTTTTAATATATTTACAACAGTATTTGTGTAAAAAAAAACAAAAAAAAATGAGATTGTTAAAAGTAATTTTTTTTTTCATTTTGGTTTTGCATACACTGCCACCAATCCCTTCTCTTTTATTTTATTTCACACACATATATATATTTTTTGGTAAGTCAAGACTGTTAAGGTTAGCGATACTGCTTCCAGATAGAAAGAATAAAAGGCAATTAAAGTTATATTTGAAAGAGAGGAAGGATATTTTCTTCATATTTTTTTTAATTTTTCTTAATTTTTATTATTTTAATTTTAAGTATTGCCTGGGTTGATGAGGGCCTCTGTGGCCAGCCCATCCCTGCTGTAATTTGAACTGCTGCTTTGTATTTTGACGTGTAGTTTCTTTGACTTTTTTAGCCAGCTTAAGTTGCTCCACTGAATTTTTTCCCCCCAACTGATCCATCTAGAATTCTATTCTTTTTCATGGGAGGGATTTTATCTTTCAGAAACAGATTTGTTACTACTCTAAAAGTTCATTGAGATATTATGATTCTAGAATTTCTCTTGACTTTACTTTTTTTTTCTTTGATGAAACACTAGTCTCTGGAGGTCTTGACAAATGGGTTCTTTCCTTTTGTGGTCACTGGGAGGAGGCATTCACAAAACCCTGCCAGGCCTCCTCACCCTTCACAACTACAGAGAGCATGCGGTGAGAAGCCCAGTGCAGATCAGGATTCCTTGATGCCAAAATTACTTTCTTTCTTTCAAATATCTCCTTCTGACTATTTCCCCCCATGGTTGAGAGGGCTAAATATAAGATGACTGTCTGTTAGATGACTTACTAACTCTTGATTTTTGGAAAGGTTATAAAGAAAGTAACAGAAATTCCCCAAATGCTGACATCCACCACTCAAAAGGTCACCAAGTCTATGTATCATCCTAGATGCCACTCTCTCTTCCTAGTTGGGATTTCTCTCCTTGGTCCTGTTCAAAGTATCGATATAGCGATCTTTCCATTAAAGTCAGTGTCCTTAAGGGATTCCAACTCAAATATAGGAATTCTTAAACCCAATGAAAACCTCAAAGGTGGTTTCATTACTGAGCATGTTTGAACACTCTTAACAGTAAATCTTTAAACAAAGCAGAAATACCAAACTACAGTTTTTTTAAAGAGAAGAGAGCATTTTAGTTTCCATATGGCTTTGCATTTTAATTTAATTTTCCTATCAACAGCTTATTTACAAATACTGTGCAGCAAACGAAGAGAAATCTTCCAATGGAAGTAACTCTGTAATGACTGAATTGATTTTACTCATAGATTTTTAGACATTTGGTTGACTTGGATCTTTTCCATAAATTCTTGGTGATGTTTAGTAGGGTTAGTGTAAATGGAGTATATGGAAGGTTGATTTGCTCCTGTAGTCCTCAATTCAGTAAATATTTTGCTAGACATTTTAATGTAGACTTGGATGGTTAACTGACAATTGAGTATCACCCATCATGATTTCTAAGATGAATCCTGCCAAGAACTGCTTGCCCAAAATTGACCTGTTTTAAAAGTTAGTGGGAAACAGCCTCGTAAATAAGAAAAAAGTACATTTTTCTCTTGCTAATTTTAACTTTTAAAATAGTTATGTTGTATTACTATTCTATCCACGGACTACCAATAGAGGGAGCATTAGTTAATTAACCATGTCATGGAGTTGTTTTGATACTTTGAAAAACAAGTCAGCCAGCCCAAGAATTGTAAATGAAAAATTGACATTTAAAAAGCTTTTTTAATGTAGAGGAAAATGACATGAAATAACTCGGCATATATTACAAACAGAAGAAGGCCAAAACCTACTTAGAAATATTTTAACTCATTTGTCAGTAGCTGATTTAAAATAATGTCTTTATTCAAACCCTAGCAAAGTAGACGGAACTTACAATATCTTTAGAAAAGTTTATCTTGGGTGCCATTATGGTCATATTTAGCTATCTGCTTCTCAGATCTGTGGGACACCCATTTGCCTTAATGCTGATTTGTCACATTAAAAAAAAAGCTCAGCAATTTGATTAAAATCCACCTTTTGTTATAAAACATCTAGGGGCACAGTTCCATTTGGGCTTAAAATCCTAATACATCCTGTTCCTTTAGAGGAAGTATTTTTTTTTTTTTGTAAAATGTTGGAGGATCCCCGAAGAATTCTTGGTGGGGTGATAATAATCATTTTGACAACATGGACTATCCAGGTTTGCATAGCAGTAGACTATTTCTTTCTGTATGTCTATTCATTTTAAACATCTCATAACCTAAAGTGATTGTGCTCTGGGGAGCGGAAGCTAGATTGGAGTGAAAGATCCAATTTGGGGAGCAATGAAGTTACTCATTGGGGGCCTCTGAAAGATCTGCCTACCAGAATGATTTATATTTTAGAAAATGAACCGACCTGTACCTATTTCAAAAGGCTAGAGATGCTTCTAAATCATAGATCCTTACTTTCAAATTAAATAGTCTCCAACATCGTAGGAAGTGAAGTAACATTTTGCTTCAAGAGTCGAGGATGAGCATGGATCCTTTTATTTTTTAATCTGAAAATCAACAATTCTCTTACATTCGAACTTCGTGCTAGAATGCTATGACTGCTGAAAAAAATTTAGTAAAACACAGAAATCAGGAGAAAAAATAGATAAAATGGAAGCAAATGTTCAGCTTTAAGACCACTTAGAATGAGTACAGGGAGAAAGAACTGGTAGGGGAAAGCATATTGGAGCTTTTTTGAGCAATTGAGCAAGTGGTTTTGCTTAGCAAGGGAAAGGAAAAAAGCCAACAGACTATTTATCTCAAGATATTTAGATACAGTTTATGAAAAATAAAATTTCCTATAACTTAAAAACATTGGTACGGTCTCAGCATAGTGGACAATTCCTTGCCAATATTTGTACCCCAGAAACTCCAAATGTGTAAAATATCACCCTAAAAAGGGAAGAAATTGGACTACAGGATCTACTAAAAAGCTGCATTTAGGGAAAGATTGAGAAGCAAGTCAGACTAAAATGAAAGTTCCTGAATCAAAAATTTTTTTCTGTATGTTTTTACTTGAGTTATAAACATTAACTACTTACCAATAACAGTTTATAGACTTCTCCCTCCCCAAACTCCTAGTGCTCTGAATCTGTGCCCTGAGTACGTGTGGCAGGCGATTTCCTACCATGCTCTGACCGCAGGCCTTTCCTTCTTCCTAGGCAGTGTGGCGATCACTGTATCTCCTGGCCTCAGAAAGAAAGACTTGGATTTGCTCTGCTTGAAAAGATTAAACGTTTCCTTTTGAATCATCTCATTATTTCACAGAGGTCCAGAAAATCCTTTCCAACCCAGGAACAGTTAGTTAGAAGTGCTTTCTGGTAGGAAAAGAGAAGTTCCCTCCGGAAGTGTTTGCCTCCACGTACGTGTACTTGCATCGGGCAGACATACCATCAGTGTGCGCCCAGCTCATGCCCCAAATCAGTGATTTCCCTCAGCACAGAATTTAGAAATGAGGTGCCCCTTATAAAGTCCCTCAGCTCCCCAAAAGAATACAAGAAAGGTTCATACTGCTTCCTAGTTGTGGCTCTTCCATAACATTCCCCATACTCATCCTTAGGAGAGGGACAGGGAGGAAGGTCTGCACAGTCACACCAGATAGCCCATTCTGGAGCCTCCCCCATTGTTACAGATGTCAGTTCACAAGTCAGGGCTGGGAGCAGGGGTTATGTGATTCCACAGGAAAGGTATCAAGTCACCAATGAGGGGCAGGCTCTGCTTGAGCCGGTGCGCTGCTAAAGCAAAAGGGAAGCAAAGCCAAGATAAGAAGCTAAGAGCAGACACAACCTGAGACGCCCTGGGGATTGAGGAGAATGGGAGGCTGCCCTTTCTGTTGTGACCTGACTCTTAAAAGAAATCTTCTGAAAGAATTCTTTAATTTAGTAATGAGTTGAAGCCCAGGGTAATGGAAGCCCTGGGGAAGAAAGCAAAAGGATTGCAAAATACATTCAGCACCCAACAACTCGAAACCAAAAAATCCAATCGCAGAATTAGAAAGTTTGGCAAAAGGTCCTTAGAGAAATCTCTGGGCTTTTCCATGAGTAGGGTCAACAGACCTGCTTTTGAGTGATTTCTGGCTCTGAGAAACCTCTTTACTGACTGAAAAAGAACTTTATTGAAATGGCCAATTTTGTCCCCCAGAAAAAGAAATTTTTAAAAAAAAAAAAGAAAAATAGGACATTAAAGACAGAACCATGTGACTTGGTGACAAACAAAAGGAAGGGTGCACTAGAATTTCAATAGACTCCCTAATTCCATAGAAAAAACAAAGCAACCCAATGCCTCTCCATCTGCCATACGGGAAGAGAGTACTTGAGCTGACCCAGCTACCAGGGCTTTCTGAGGCTAGACATAACTTTCCAATTGGGACTGCAACAGCCTCTTTCTCTTTACTGTGTTTTTGTGAAGAAAGGGCTGTTCTCTTAGATGCCCACAAAATAAATTATATGGGGCAAATTTTCAAAAGCAATCTCTCCCCTGGTGCTGAGGCTGCATACAGAGGCAGAAAGGGGCCACAGAAGAGCCCTGGCTGTAGAGAGACAATATTTTCCTTTTCCCAGGGGCTCTCAGTGTAGCGTTGCCATTTCTAATATCGCTTAAACCTCCACAAGAAGAAAAACTGTGGTGACTCAGTGTTCATGTAAACACAGAATGTGGACATTACTAACCCAAAGCACTAGGTTTTAAAGTGACCAGCCTGACTAAACTACCCCAAAGACTTAGTCTCTGAATATTTTTTTTTCTCCTTGAACATGGAATCCAGTGCAGTCGGTGGTGTACATCAGCAGTCTCAGAAGATGGCATAAACACTAGGGTTTTCTTCAGCTCCTTTTAGGGTGAAGACGTAGAAGATGAGGGCCGCATAGCATGGGTTCTTTCACAGAACTGTATGTTTCACTGAGTGAAGTGTGGAAATACCTTGGATTGAAACAAACACAGGATTTCCACACCACTGACTGAAACACCTGGATTCCTGTGGTGTCAGACCCACCTGTTGCTTCATAAACTGAAAACCTTCAGATTGAAATATCTAATGTGACGTGACCTCAGTTAAGGTATTTTCATAAGAAGCCACTTATAATAAAGAATTCTTGCCTTAAATTAGAAAGCCCAGGAAAGAGGATAGAAGATCATGCCATTGGGAGAGTGTGGAAAAAGTGGACATTTCTTGTTTTTTGATGGCTGTGTTGTCACAAAAATGAGCCCTGTTCATGACAGAGGACTTTGGGAACAGTCACTTTGGGGGACGGCACAATGCCCGAAGGACTGCTTTCAGGGAGTTCTATTTCCTACTTCAGAGGCATGGGTCTGGGCTGGGTGTAAAATAATCATTTAGCCAAATACTGAAACCCATCAGACATGCTCATAGTTGCTTAAACATTTTAACAGGGAGAGCAATCCCAATGCAAAGCTATCTTGCCCTGTGCAGTGTATATCTCTGAACTTTTTTCCCTCAGTTTTAGAGAGCATCTGGTTTTTATCTGGTGGTTCTTGGCTTAAATACAAACTCACCACTCTCAAGTCCTCAGTGAAAGAGTATAATCTGCAGATGATAGGGGAAAATCTAGCCACCATCATGGGAGTCCTGACTTTTGAGATACCTAAGTAGGGTATGAAAAGTCCCTATTAACTCTCAATTCAGAGTTTTCGTTGGTTCAAAATGTCTCAATGAGATTCTGATACACCCAAGATAGAAAAAAAAAAAATTAACCCCACAGGAGACACCTGTTTCTACTACTCTTGTAGCAGAAGTTTGTTCTTGCCCTGCAAAATCATTTCAATTTATATATAGATTCTAGTAATGAAAGGGACTTAACCCAACTAGTATATCACAGCTGCTATCCGAAATGTCTGGAAACGAGTATACATTATGTATGTACACACGCAGTGAGGTGCTCTCTGTACAAAAGTGTCCACATTCATACTCCCCAGGGACAAAAAGATTCTGGAATTCCTAGTGAAAGGTCTCAGATCTGCTTCTGCTCTGTTGCCTTAGTCGGGTGCATCAGTGCCATCCACTATCTATGATGAGACTTTGGGGAAGTCTGAAGGAGCCCAACTATCAGTCATTTGTATATACCCTTTCGTGAGAAACTTGAATATTCTTGGAGTAGAGTGCACTTAACAAGCTCTGCACTTTTCTATTGGATTTACTGATGTGTGTGTGTGCGTGTGTGTGTGCGTGCACGCGCGTGCGTGCACGTGTGTATTTGCATGTCTACTTGTGGTCTGGGGAGTGTGTGTATCTCAAAGGAAGCCCACACAGGCATAGGTCTGGTGCATAGATACTGTTGCCTCTTCCCACCATTGTGCTCAAGACTTGTGGCTCCCTTCCCAGGAAGCAGTCACCTGCCCACTCGGTTGCTTTTTCTAGCGTTTTGGAGTTGGGAGAAACAAAGGCAGTTTGTTGGATCCACAGCAAACCCACAGTGACAGGCTGTTTTCCTCCAGGAGAAGGTAGAACAGAAGTACTCGATTGGCAAGCAGACAAGAGGGAGCAGCAGTGTGGGGCACCTCATCAGGTCTCCTGGGGAGGAGGAGGCAGTGAGGCCGGACAGGCAAGACCCAGACACACATAGGCCTGAGCCATCCCATAGCTTAAAGGCCTCCCTCTGTTCCTTTCCGCTATGCAACCCAGTGTGTGCACACAAACACTCACCCACTCATCTAAGTTTTACTCCCAAGCTAAAGCTTCCTAATTCTGCCTGCATCTGTAGGACATCATCACAATTCACAAACTGTATCTCCTGAAACCAGTGTGGCCTTTGCCGAAGTCTTTCCAGGAGTGGGTTGTTTACCATGTCTAGCAAACCAATAGACTCTCGGGGGAATAGTTTTTGATAATCTCTAAGAATTGATGGCTCTTGCCCATCTCAAGCATCAAAGTAGAATGCCACTCTACTGTAATATTCTGAACAAATGGACCCTGCTCTTGTAGCTGACTCTGAAGGGTGGCCTAGAAACAGCCTGATTCAGTTTTCTCACTTCCATGTCCTCCTTTTACTAGATGGTTTATTATTTTTTATGACATGTAGATTGTTTCTGCTAACTTACAGAACTCAGAGGACATTTTCTTTCCTCTTCTATTTTGGTGACCTGTCCCCTCCCCCACTAAGTAAAGCTACTTATAGTTACAATTTTTTTCATTGTTATTATTTTTAAAATTTATATTGTCTTTCTATATCCAAAAGAAGTCTGTGACTGTAACCGTAGGTATTTCTTTTTACTGGAAAAAAAAATGAGTTTGTTTTTTTTTTTTAATTAACAGTTCTAGTGACTTTGTGGAAGAATATGAGTTACAATTTAGGTATGCTTACTTAAGTACAATACACTACAGTGCAGTATTTCTGAAACCTAGAACATACACATTATATATAACAACTCTATATTGACATATATATTACATTATATTCATTTTAACTTTTGAATCTGCCTATTATCATGAGTTGATTGAAATATTATTTCTTTGCATTTATCACCCATCACCAACCTGCTGCAGTTAATCTGGTGCATTTCATATTAATCATTACTGCTCTAGTTTGCTTTTTATATTATCAGCTTCAGTATTGTCGTTACAGGATTTTAGAATTTGTTTTTAAGCTCAGACTTAGCAAATGTAGGAAAGTGAAAACTTTGTTTTAAGAAAACATTTTTTTTTGGTGTGGCCAATACAAAGAGGTTCATATTCAAAGTGATCTTGTTAAACTGACCCGCTTAACAACTGAAGAACAAAAGAAGTGCATATGAATGTATCTGTGATTTCCCCTCTTGGACTGTCACTGTCTGTATTGATTTTAAAAATATGACCAAGGGGCTGCTTAACCTCCACATGATCTGACCAACAATTATAGGCTTGGTTTCAAAGGGCCGCTCATCTGAGAAGCGTTAAGACAAATGAAATGCCTAATTTTCCCAACTGTCTTTTCAAACATTTATTTTAATACTGCTTCTTTACTGACTACTTTCTGTTTTCAATATGCTTACAATTATTTTAACTAGTCTTCAATGTTTCCCTGGAGGTGACTTGGCAATATAGTGTTCATTTCTCTAGGAAAAATTTTTTTAATACAATCAGAGCTTGAGGAACTTTTTCATGACAGAGGCTGATGGAAATAGAACTCAGTAGTATATATCTCATTTTTCAGTCTGTAGAATCCATGGCGATTTCTTGGATATCTGGCACTCCATATCTCTGTTTGTCTGTTGAGGTGGCAATGTGGTGCCTTTCTTCTTCAACCTGGCCATCACGGAAACTTCAGAAATCAGGCATCTGTCTTCCTAACCAGAAATATTTTTAAATATGATTTTCAGACAAAGAGCTTCTTCAACTCCCCTCACTTATTCAATCCAATGCCTGGAAAACCCCACACTTGGATAAGACTGGTGCCTAAAACCAATCTCATTCCCTAAGTTCAACATTCAGGATAAAATGAAAACAGCTGTTTATAATATATCAGCGTTAAAGCTCTTCCCACACCGGACCATTATTAAGACTTCTCAGTGTGGATAGCACCAATTCCTTCCTTCCTTCTTTCCTAATAGTTTTCCCCCCCAAATTTCATCCCATTTTGCTGTACCCCTCCAGTAGGTCCTCTTCCCTAATCTAAGCTCCTCTCACTGCCCACAACTTGTGAAGCCTGGTGCTCATTGAGGAGCTACCTACCCTAGTCTACTTTAAAGAGGCTAATGTTGAGTCTGCTAGCAAGATTATTAATCTGTTACTCCAACATTCTCAACAAAACATAATTGTAAATCAAGAGATAGTGAGGTTCTTCCTTTCCCAATGATCATATGATATCCAAATTGTGTCAAATTCATTTTTTTCCTCTTTCCTTTTCCTGACACTTTTTCTTTATTTCATATTTCCCTTTTACACTAAAGTACCTCTTTTTCTTATCAACACCCTCAGACTAACAATTGTGGCTGAGTATATGTTTCCATTCTTCCCCTACCCCATTCTGAATGTCCTTCTTAAAGCTTTATGTAAAGAGCATTGATGTGAATGAGTTCAGAGACTTGAGACTCGTAGGCAGCATGAAGTATGTCTTTACTGTACCTTCAGTTTTTGAAAGTTATCAATATTCTTTTGCGAGTGGGAGGACCTGAGTCATAGTTTTAAATGTCAGCTATACTAGCTGAGGTCATTAATTCTTTTTATCTTCATATTTGGCCAAAGATAAAGAGAAAAATATTTTCTGTTATTTTTTTCCTTTAAATACCAACGTGTTCAAATTCCTGATAATGAGTAGACTTTTTCTGAAGGAGGAAAAAAATCATCAATGTAGACTTCTATTAATGTTCAGCCAAATGACATGTTTACCAAATAGTAGATTTATAGAAATCTGAAAAGGGTAACATTTCAAAATAATTTTGATAACTTATAAAGTCTTAGTGAAATCTTCTAAAACAAATAAAGCTACTTCCACTCAAACACATTATCGGAAACAATTAGCAAGATTTTTTTCATGTGTTACCTTTTCAAAAAACCAGTAATTGTTGACTGGTTTAGAACTTTAAGCAGTGATTTAGTAAGGGAGGAAAAGGTTCATAAAGTTTCTAAAGTATCTATTTTGCAACCAGATAATTTTTTCAACCTCAACATACTATATGTTTAAATAAATAATAATAGGGCTATATAGATACTTGAAAAACCATGTGATACCCTCCCAGGTATCTAAATATTCACCATATAATTTGGTTACCTGTTAGATCTTATTCCAGTGAGTTATAAATGTCTGGTCCCCGGAGCATTGTTCAAAGGACTGACGCAATTCACTATCTGTCCCTTTAAATGATCTTCACAATTCTGTAACACAGTCATTTCTGACTCCAGTCCCAACACTTTTGCCAAGATACCACATTGCCTCTTGGTCCTTTTGAAAGCTAGTGCTGTGACATTTAGATTGCTGCCTGGTTTGGGATGCACAGAGGTATGCTTTCATTTCTTGTTTTACTCATTGACAAACAGATTCAACATTTAATATCAGAAATGTATTCTTAATTTGCCTCGGGTCTTCACGTTGCTTTTATCTCATCAAACCGGTTGACAACATCAGCTCTCACCATAGAGTGTAATGAAATACAGAGAAGGTTCAAAGGCCTTCCTTGAGTCATGCATCTGGTAGGAAACTATCATTTCTGAAAACTAGTATTTATGTTGCTTAGGACTATGATCTTCAGCTGGCAAGTGCTAGTCTATCCCATCTACTTCTCTTCCTTTATGTTCTGAATCCCTTTATCTTTTTTTTTTTAAAATTACTTTCATCTAAAGTACTCTTCTCGGACATTGGCTTCTGAAAGAATAAAAGACTTTTAAATCCTAAATGCTATTATTAATGTGTAATGTGGAGTAGGTGAGGATCTGGCTCCGGTAGGCCCCATTTGGTCCAGTTAATCACAGGACTTTTCCAAGATGCCTTCTTGACATTGTTCCTTCTAGTTCTACAGGAAGAGTTGTAATGCCAAGACCCAGGATTTCTTACCACAACTGCTGAATTAGTTTAGATTAATGTCTAAATCCTGTTTAATATTCTAGATTCTAGGGTGTGAATTTCTTATTGCTTATGAGGCTCCTGCTTTTCCAAACTGACATCTGTCAGGTGCACCAATAGCCCTAACAGTATATAATGCAGTAAAATAATGGTCAGGAAGATTATAGAATATATTTGGGGGGATACGAAGGGATTTAATTTCTTCTTTTCCTCACAAAAAGCTTGCTTCCTCCCCACCCCCACCACCACCACCACCCCTACCCCACTACCACTACAATGCATTTCAGAAAATCTGCATCTCATTTTACAAATACGTAGTTTTAGGATTTGCAAGTATAGTTTAGGAAATGTTCTGAGATTGAGGCTGGTAGCAAACCAGTTTATTTTCTGCACTGGACTTTAGGACAAGTGTGCACAGTTGCAATTCCTTCAAAGAAAGTGAAACTAACATAGTAAAGCAAGGGGATCATACTTTTACACATTAAAACAGTTGTTTGCTATCTGTAAACCTTGATTTATGCATAATTATTACTTTTTAGAAACCTGAAACTGGAGGAATGTGTATTTTAGTAATGTTTGTTGATTTGTTCGTTTCCTTTTATCTCTTTTTTTCTCAAAATGGTAAATGATTTTGACTTTTCAATTTGAAACTGTCTGTGGCCATAGCCACAAATAACTGCCTGCCTTTACCATGGTCATTTCCCTCTTTGTATAAAAGCCTTTCCATTCTACCTTTAAGGAATTCTTTTGCCAGGGAAATCATATCTTCCTTTTCTAGTAGTACATGAGAGCTTTGAGAAGAGAAATTTTCTCTGCACCTTGAAGGTAGAATAGTTAAAATACAAACTATTACTTAAGAAAGAAACTATTTACCTAATCTAACAGGTCTGGGACAAAGAAAGGAAGCTGAAAGTTACTCATTTTACACTACAAATCCTTCCCTCTTCAAATTCTTAGAATAAGGCTGCTGGGAATGAGTTAATTTAATTAAAATCCTCTTTGGGTGTTTCTTATTCATATCTAGCAGAATATCCAGACTAGAAAAAGAAAGGATGCTACGAAAATGCCAGAGTCAATTGATCTATAGATTCGTGTAACTGTTCAGAATTCTTTTCGATCCTTCATTTCAAAATGGCATATGTTCATGAGGTCTTAAATAGAGAAATATCTACTTCTCCATTGCTTCTCTTCTCTCCCACCTGGCACCCGAGGTGACAGTCACAGAGATTGACACAGTATTGTCAGTACTTCATCCATGCATAACCCCACCACCACAAAAGAAGGAAAATCCAAATTAGAAACTTTTTAAAAAAGGAAATTGTAGTGCTTCATTTGAAAGCATACTGTTTCCAACTCAATTTACAGATAGCCTGACAACCTTTTTTATAACCTGTCTTTTGTGCTATAATTTGCATTCGTAGCTCAATCTTTAAAATAATTACAATTTTAATTAAGTGAACAGAGGAAAAGCAAAGAGAGAGAACAGGACAATGTGATGGGACTGAATTTGATACAGTTCTGGATTCCTAAAGCCAGTCCTCAGGGTTACCAGAGAAAGTTAACACCCCTCGCCCTTGACCATTCTTGCCCATCTCTCACTCTTATAATCCTAAAAATTGGTAAAATAATCTCACTGCTTTGTGGTTTATGACTTCTCTTAACACTGTTACATGGGTAAGGAAATGGTGGAAACCCTTGTCTGTTCCTATACCCATTCTGTTCCCAGAGCATATGCATAGAGATAATTGAAAATCAAATAATGGTTCAAATTTGATACAAGGTTTAGCCATAGTCTAAAGTGCTTTGTGTATGTTCACCCTCAGGGGGTTCTTGGAAAAAAACAAGTCTTGCTACTCTTCTGCTCTACTAGATCAAACTTGATTTGGAACCAGCAATAGATTTGTAGGAGAAAATTCTCGAAGGCATTTTCAGCAGTCCAACTCCTTCCTCAGTCCCATTGAATTGAACCTCACTTTTCCTGAGGGAAGCTGTTGAGATATATAAATTAAAGAGCAATTTTCTTATATCTAATTAAAATTGTCTTGTGTATCATTCAAAAGATTGTGGCTTTCACTGCAAATGAAAGCAATCTCTCTGTAATCCTTATCATGGCAAGCAGAGGGTGATAGTTCAGAAAAATCTGTGATAAGTTTATGTTTGAAAGTAATTAAGTATTTTGACCCATATACCCAATGCCTTTCTGTAATCTCTTGTCAACTGCATACTAATTCTCCGAGACTTCAGCATGTATGTGTGGATATGGGCAGAAAAGTAGATTTACATTTGGGGAGTGGAAAACCTTACAAGCTGAAGAGACAGATTCTTGAGGATTATCAAATGCACAGCATTTCTCCAGAATCACTTAATACTGTCATGTCCCAAACCAGTTCTAGATTAATCATAAGCAAGAATTAAGCTCCATAAGATATCCTACTATGAAAGGTTTTTTTTTTCCTTACAGAATAACACAAAAGAGGTACAATGCAGACTCTTAATTTTGGGATAATAATTTACTTTTATATTTAATAATTGTACATTCTGTGTGTGTGTCATTGAGCTATTTATACCAATTTTCAATCTATTATTCTGAGAGGGGCCTTGAGAATTTCTATGTCTGTGTATGTAGATCTGTATTTATGTATAGTCAGGAAAAAAAAAGGGGATAGGAGAGGAATGAAGTGAGGGAGAAGGATTCAATGTGAAAAAGTGAGTGTTCCTAGTGTCCCTATTTATTTTAGGTAAGATGGCTGCTACCCACAGCCCTCAAGGAATAGTTGATTGCACTATTCAAAAATAAGAGCCCAGCACTGTTAAATTTAGGACCGTGTTTTGGGACACAGGAAAGCTTTATCTTTTTCTGTACTCTTACCCTTTAGCATCGGAGCCATTTGACATGATGAAAACCATTAAATAAAAACCACTACTGACCTTTGCATTAAATTACTATTTTTCCTCTTCTAAATACCACCCCTGGTTTCAACTCAACTACTTCCCTTTATTTTCTGCCTATTGGCTTAATGTTTTACAAAATAATACATAGGTGCATGCTAGTTGTTTCTCTCTTTTGAGCTGAAACAAACAGGGGCAACAAAGGAGATGACTCACAGAAGTGTGAGGTAAAGACTGAATTTCCCGCTTTTGTGGCACTGGTAACCTTTAGTCAGAGCTGTTTAGGGTTGAGCTTGTGTCTGTTTTAGGGCTTTTTTTTTTTTTTTTTGGCTTTTTTTTTTTTTTTTTTTTTTTTGCACTAAATATGACTGCACTGCATTGCACTACTGAAATGTATTTACTTGTGCCGGGAGAGAGTGTTGGAGAAACAGGAGGAAAAGAAAAGCTATGAAACTAGTGGCATCACAACAATGGAGGGTTATGTACATCGTACTTGGTCTTAGCAGGGTTGGCAAGAATTTGTGGAATCTGCCAACTCTTGATATGGCCTAGAAACTGCCATGGTGATAGAATCTCTTTTCTTATTACAAAGAAACTGGGTTAGTATAGTAAATTGAAGACATTCAAGGAGAAGTTTGACCAATGCTATCTCCAAATAAGTTTTCAGTAAGAGTTATGATGGTGAGAGAACCAACCCGTATGGCATGGATGTCTTGGCCTTGGCCTAGACCACAAAGCCTCATGCTGATGCACATCCCAAGTGTGGCAGAGGGCGGTGGCATGGCCTCCTTTCAAGAAAACATAGCCTTGTACATATTGGAGGTATACTTTCAGCCTGAGCGTGAAACCTAGATCAGGCTAACCAAAGAGGAAGGCCAGGCCAGGCATGTGGTAAAATCCTTTAAGATGACAGTAAGGGAACAGTGCAATAAACACTGAAAACCAGTGAGATGAAAGGTTTATTTTGAAACAAGTTGGGCCAACTTTGAAGCTGGAAGAAGAGTTGGATTGATCAGATCAGCTACTGACTAGCTGCTCCATCATAGACTATCCTTTTTTAAGCAGAAGACCTTAACAGTGCCTAAAAGTTTAGTTTTGAAGTTGTAGGTTTTTTCAATTTTTCTTTATTGGATTTATTTTTATTGCCATTTTTAACCTTAGAAGTAATTAGACTTTGACAGCTCTTTAGTAACTTAATAAAAGAATCTTGTACCACAGAAAAAGCAATAGATTGTGTGGGGAATAATAACACAAGAGTGAAGATGCTAAAGGACTCTTTCAAAATCCAAGGTGACAGCTATAAAGATTCTGGTTTAGGAAGGAAGGGTCACAACCCACAGAAATGGATAATGTTGAATTTCTCTGAGCTATCACATGGGCATCAATGCAGAAAGCGCTCAGCTGAGTCCTCTTTCCTAAGATTACAGCATTGACACCTATCTCTTCCTCTCTCCTCCTTAGCATCCATCCAAGTCTACAATTCCAACTTACATTATTGTTAAGGAAGCTAGCTACCTTGCTAGTCAGAAAAACTCCATTTAGAGTTTTTAGAACTAACATAAGCAATCCCTTAAGCACTCAAAGCATGATCTCCATTTTAAATAAGAATCTCTAAATTCAGAGCTCTTAACAGGTACTTAGAGATATGTATTGGGTAAACACCAAAAGGATATTGACTGCTTGAACCAAAGTTATAGAAATAAATTGACCCTTTTAAATATATTCACATAATTGTCCTAGGATATTTCTCTTGAGGCTTTGGGAAAAAATTCTTCCTTGTATCTTGTATACCCACTTTAGTTTTGTCACCAAAGATTTTAATCTCCAGAGCCCAACCTCTTTTTTCCAGACAGAAGTAATAGAACACACTTAAGGAATATGCTTTAGAGGTCAAGGGATGACACTTTGGTTTTCATTCTGTTCACATTGATATTTACAGGAAAATTGTTATCAGAGCAGTTACTGAACTGTCTTTATGAGAGGATTTGGTCTGAGGCTTAAAAAATAGGAGTGAAAAAAAAGTAGTACTTGACACTGTATACTAGTCCTGACCTGGAGACTGATGGAGAGAAAGAAACTTCCATGGAAGAGAGTGAGCAAAATCATTGAGAACCAAACAAGGATCACTGGTGAAACATGGGGTAGCAGAGTAGATCAGTGCTTTGCATGACCAGAGTCAACAGCAGTGGCCCATGGAGGAGTCACATAACTGGCCAATGAGTTCAAGTATTGAAAAAGCCACTCGTTATTGTTGCTGGAGTGATTCAAATATCCATGCCCATGGCAAGGAAAATGCTTGAGGCTGATCTGTTGTGATAGTGCCTTTCTTGTGTAGCAAGTAGTAGATTAATAATTTGTTTGATTGTTTTTCTGGACCATTGCCCCCCAGTCTCTGAGGATGTTTGAAGGGATGGTATTCACTTAGGATGACAGGATAGGATCTTGCTCCTGGAATGCTGTGATTTGATGATATTTGCACTAAATTCAGAAACTCTGCTTTAGTAAACTGGAGCAACTGAATGAGAGAAAAACCAAGGATGGTTCGGAGTTAAAAGAAACCAAAAGCAGTATTTTCTGACTGATGCCATTTCTTTTTTCTTCTTTTTTTGGTCTGGGGAAAAAACTTCATACGTGTTGGTTACCAAGCTCAACTCTTACCAATTCTTTGCCTTCATTTTTTTTTTTCCACACTGAACCATCAGAGTGAATTAAGCACAGGTGGGGTGGTTAATGCAAAGGGCCTCTGTCATTACCACTTTGCACCCCTGTTCTCTTTCATGGAGGGCATGGGTGGGGTATGGAGGGGCCGGGATCCTCTGAGTCACCTAGTCATTAGGAACACCAATAAGCACCACATAGAGAGTGAACATACACATTTGTCCCTGAAAGACACTGAGGCCTGTAGGGAAATCAGTGTGTTGGGGGCCAGGAGAGAGAGAGAGACAAACACACACTTGGTGCCCAAAGTTTGCCTATTTCTCATCCCTTTCCTTCCTCACCAGCATGTCCTCTCTTATCAGAATTGTATTTCATCTCACTTAATATATGTTGCCAGAAGAATTATTTGGTTCCTTGGTTTCTCTCTTTATCAGTGGGCTGGGAATGCCTCCAAAATTCAAAGCAGATATCATCAGTGACTCACCTGGTCTTGACTGGTCAACTGAGATAACTTGGAAACTTTGGCTGACTGAACCACCTGTCACTCTATTTTCATTCTGCTTCCATTTTCATTTGAATTTTAAGAGATCCTATGGAAAGGTGGAAATAATGGGAAAGATTTGGAGACTGCAATTCTAGGGCATAGCTTGTCAGGAGTTTGTATTATCCAAAATACATTTCTACACCTGTTTTCAGTTGAATCTGCTGCCCTCATTATAATTTCTATTATATTTGTGGTTATTTTTATAAGAATAGAGTCCATTTGCTATGTCTATCTGAGTGCTTTTTTTTTTTCTGTTTTCCCCACATGGATGCAGTTCCAACCTGTTAATGAAATACCTTTTTTATTTTATTATTAATATGTAATTCTACTGTAGACCAAAAATATAAAAACAAATTTGTTCATTTTAAAGATATAAAGAACTAGTGAGTAAAATATTAAAAGTTGAAGGAAAAGACAGAAGAGCAGTGGTTAACTATGTTGAGTTAGATATCTAAGAGTAGCCTTACCTATTTTTTAACCAGTGCTTGCTGATCCTAGGATAGTTGGGAGTATATAATCTTGGCTCCTTCATGCTTATGTTCTATAATTCTTGTTTGTCTGTCTGTTTTTCTTTGATGTAATTGAGGTTGCACATCATGCTATTGTGGGCAATGCCTGATTTTATTATTTGTACTTTTATCAGTCATTTCCTTTAGAAGGATGGGGGGAGTTTTATTTCTTCGTTTAATTTAAAATTTGTTTAATGCACTGGAAATAAAATTGGACACATTTCACTGTTTAAAAAATCAGAAACAAAACAAAACAAAAACCACAGAGAAAAAACCAGCAACCAAATAAGCAGTGGGGGGGAGGGGGAAGTCTTTTACTGAACAAACAACATCCACATGAAAGAGAAATACCACCAAATAAGAAAAATACATAGTTGAAGCTACCATGCTAAAAATAGAAAAGAAATCTGGGTTCAATGGAAATGGGGAGAATAGGGCGTTCATTTGAGACTGAGACCTTGTCATAGATCCAGTTACTGCCCCAACAGGTTGAATGTGGGAGAGGAGACTCTGGCGGAAGCAACCCCAGCTGTCCTCAGACCACTAGTGCTCCCCAATATCTTTTATCCTATGTTTGTGCTCCATTTTGAGAATAGAAAGAAACAAAAACAATAATGTGCTGTGCCTGAGAAGGTGGCTTGTGTAGAGGGGTAGTTATCTTGCACACGTGGATGCAGGTCAGTCTTCTGCCAGGGGACTGCCTCATTCATGTGTTTCTCTGCTCCAAGAGGATTCGCAGCAGATGGCGCACATCATGGGAGACTGTAAATGACTCACTAGAACATTGGCTGTTACTAAAGAGCCTCTTGACTCCAGCCTGATGGCCCTTCTTCAGCATTCCCAGATACCAACAGAGCCAGTTAACCCATACAAATGCATAGTGAAAGGAAGGACAGACATTTTTCCCAGCCAACTGGCTCTAACATTTATGTAATGTTTGCTGGGTTTTTCTGGTTTTGTTTTGTTTTAGAGTAGGGGTGGGGAGTGGATGTAACTTCACAATCCTAATACAGTTAATTGTTTTGCATCTTCCATGTTTTATGCAAAAATAGACATTTAAATCAATAAATAATTGTGCCCTAGACTGAAAATTAATGTTTAGGAGAGGGGAAAAATCGTTGGAATTTTTTCTACATTTTTTTGTGAAGAATCTTTTTTGGAAAGGAAGGATACATATTTTTGTTGTGTAATATTTTCTATTTTTGAATGCATTTTATTGGTACAAGACTGTTTTTTTGGTGAAGACATTATTTAAAAAAAAAAAAAGAAAAAAACTAATCGAAAAGTTTGCCCTTAAGGATATGCTGCAGTTTTGAGGTAAAAAAAAAAAAAAAATAACTGATTCAAGATGCGTGTTAAAAGTTGGGATTATATTGTTGTTTTTTGTAATTGTTACAAGAAGAAGTTTGTACCCACTGCTGTTTATTTTGTTTCAGATGAGTAAGTAAAGGGATTGTTCTTGTTTTATTCTTTTTTTAGAGAAAAAAAAGCTATTTATGAAATGTCAAAAACACTGGACTGTGAGTTTAAGTGTGGAAGCATTTTACCACCCTGTGTCTTCGACCAATTATGGGCAACTCCTTTTCTCTTCCCCCCCGCCTTAGCCTTGCCAAATGAGAAAAATTTAACAGC